CCGAGGCGCCCTCGCCCGAGCCGCCCGGCTACTCCCTGCAGGACTTCGACATCCTGGCCACCGTGGGTGAGTACCACGCGCGACCCCCGTGCGCCCGGGACGCTGAGGTCAGACAAAGGGCCCCCGGAGATTGGCCCCGCTGTCCCTGCACCCAGGCTCCTCCAGGTCGGAAGGCAGCCCCCCACCCCCCCGCGCCCCGGTTTCCCTCCCTAAGTTTCTGATGGTGTTCTCTCCCCCCCTCCCCATAGCAACGCCACCCGGCGACTGGGCGGCTGAGCGTCACAGAAGTTACTGGGAGCCACCAGACACTGGGGACCTCGCGCGCAGTGCTCAGGCTGCGACCCCCAGGGGCAGGCGGCGGCACCGAAGGCACCTGCGGAACTGCCCCAGGGCCGCCTGTCACCGAGCTGAGTGGGAGACTAGCCCCGCGTGGAGTGGACGGGTCCCTCCCCGAGTGGCCGAAGCGCAGGGCTTGGGGGGGGGGGCACAGGTGTCCTGCAGCGCCTGGGGACCCGGGGTGCGGCTTGGGACTGAGTGGGGGCCCTTGCTCCATACCGAGTGCGCCTCTCTGTCCCGTGCGTGCGAAATTTGGGGTTCTTTTATTGGCTGCGCCCTGGGCCTCGGAACTGGACCCGATCAGGCAGCTGGAAAGGTCGGGTTCAGGTTGTCCGGGACCCCGAGGTCCTGGGCAGGGGCTGGCGGGTCCGAAGACGGACTCTTGGCACCCACCCGCCGGCCCGTGGCTTTTTAGCGACACTGTGTTGCTAAGGGTGTCACCGAGGCTTGTCGCTTGCCAGGAAAATCAGCAGAGGAGGGGACAGGGCGTCCTGTGCGTGTCCACGGGGCAAGGGCTGCTCCCGGGCGCTTGCTGGGTGGAGACGCGGAGGGGCGCGGGGTGACAGCCGCACTGTGTTCTCTGCCTCTACCTCCCCGCCTTCCTGTGTCTCCCTGTCCCCTGGGTGACTGTCCCTCCTCCCTCCCCCTCTCTCCCCGGAGGAGGCCGGGCAGGGCGCATCTCCAAGCTGTTTTGCTGTCGAGGACAAGGGCGGGGCGCGGCTCCCCAAGCTCTGATCCAACAGTGGTGGCCGCACACCCAGGTCAACAATGGGAACTGCACCGGGGTCGCCTGTCCCTGTCACACGGTGCACTTGCAGAGGGTCAGTTGGGGAAAGGCTGGGGGTCTGCAGGCCAGGTCCCCAGAGGTGAGGGGTTTGGAGTGTGCGGCCACAGAGCCTGTGTTTGACATCACCGGTGGCTCCAGGTGGCCCGCTAGTGAGCGTCATCCTTAAAAAACAGAACGTGGCTGCCTCTGGGGACCACCCCTAGGGACCCAGGGGGCTGGGCAGGAGTTGCAAGCTCATTTTTGCTGCAGATGTTTGTGCCTGTCCACAAAGAAGGACGATCAGGTGTTCCTGGGGGACCTAGGATTACCGTGTTCCAGGCGTTGGGCAGGCAGGAGGACAGGACCCCAAGCAAAACCCACCCCACACTGAAACATTCTTTCCTCATCCCAGACCCCGTCCCTCGGAACCTTCTAGAATGACTTTGCAAGGAGCTCATTCAGAACTCTGGGGTGCATTCGGAAGGATCCCTGAAATTCCTGTCACACACAGGTGTGCTCGGTTTGGACGGTGTCCCTCTTGTGGGTGATGATGCTCTTCGTCACCAGGGAGCATCTTGACCTCTTTGAGGGTCTCCTCTTTCACTTTTACCCCCGTGAGGACCCCGAGAACAAGGGGCTCATCTCAGGGCCGTCAAATCAATGCTCATTTGCTCTGGAGACTTGTTTCCAAGTTGATCCAGTTGTCCGTTCCGAGGCCCAAATTTCATTTTTCTTTTCTAACATTTTCTTTGTCTCTGTTTTTTCTTTGTCTTTCTCTCTTTCCCATCTCTTTTTTCCCATACTAGGGATTGAACCCAGGGCTGCTTACCCACTGAGCCACCTCCCCAGCTTATATCTTTATTTTTTTATTTGGAAACAGGGTGTCACTCAGTTGCTTAGGGCTTGGCTGAGCTGCTGAGGCTGGCCTCCCAACTCCCAGATCCTCCAGCCTCAGCCTCCTGAGCCCCAGCACGGTCTCCAGCCAATCTCTCTCTTTCCCCATTTGCTTATGTGAAAGATGCACATCACGAGGACCTCGTTGGGCCACCACAGTCCCCGCGAGGAGCACGTTCCCTGATGTAGACCCTGTGCCCAGGCTTGACTGTCACCCAATCCCTGTAACAAACTAACAGAGACCAGGCACCTGCATTGATTGACAGCTACTGCTCATAGCTCTGGAGGATGAAGTCCAGGGTCAAGGTCCAGGTGGGGCTGACTGGGGTCAGCTGAGGCTGCTTCCTGCTCCCAGAGGGCACCTTCTCCTGCGTCCTCCATGGTGGACGGGCAGGGGGCTCTCGGGTCTCTCTTATAAGGACCCTGGTCCCCTTCATGGGCTGCACCTGGGAGCTCAGCCCCTCCCAGAGCCCACGGGGTGAGGGGTGCGGATTTTACCATGTGCAATGGAGAGGACCGACCTGGGCGCCCCCGCAGGTACCACCACAATGACGACTGGAATGCCACCCGGGTGCATTGGATCCCGTGTGTCAACAGAGGGTAGGCGGTGGCGCTGGCCTCCGCCACCTGGACTGCTGTTGACGGCCAAGCAGCAGCCACAGAGTGAAGCCCCACCCTGTAGTCTCATGTGTCTTGCGTGGACGCCGCCGTCGCGTACAGTGGCCAAGGTGTGTGAGTGTCAGTCTCCATCGGGAGGGTCACAAAGGCTTCCCCGGGAGCAGGGGCCACCTGGAGACCCAGGAGCTGGACAGGCAGGAGGAGCCCCCCTGGAGCCCGGGAAGGGAGCTGGACACCATGGTGAGAGGCGGGTCCTGTCCACAGCTGGACCCCAGCACCTGGGAGTGGGACCTGGTGTGGGAACAGGGTCTCTGCAGAGGTCATTAGTGAAGGGTCCCGAGATGGGCTCCTCCTGGATCAGGGGGCCCTCGTGCCATGGCCGTGTCCTCCCCAGAGACAGAGGAGGGGACACAGACCCAGAGGAGGAGCCCCGTGGAGACGGAGGCAGAGACGGCAGTGAGGGGCCACCAGCCCAGGGCCACCTGGAGCCCAGGAGCTGGAGACGCAGGAGGAGCCCCCTGGAGCCCTGGAGGGATCTCAGCCGGGGACCCTGGTCCAGCCTGCGCCCTGCATGGCTGACACCATCCCTCTCCCCTCCGTCTCTACCCCTTACCCCCCCCCCCCCCACTGAGTAGCCAAACGAGGCCCCCACAGGACATCACTGTCCTCTGGCCATTCCTCATGACAAACCCACCACGACCGCTGGCATCTCAGGTGGCCGAGCCATGGGGCGCCATCTTGAATCCGTTCCAACCCCAGTGGCCTCCTCTTTCTGCCTCCTGAACTCCAGCCTTGGAAGTCAGGTGGGCAGCCCGTCCCCAGGCCCAGGCTCCGCCCGTCCCACCCTGAAATCCCCAGGACAAGACACTTCCTTCCCCCAAGTGCAGACAGGGAACTTGGGCCACCCCTGGGGATGGTTCCAGGCTCTCTGTGGGTGATACAGGGTGGATCCGTCCACAGTAGAGGCTGACTAGAGAGGCCCCCAGGAGGACATTCGTGGGAACAAGGTGCCCAGTGGAGGGCCACAGGGCTGGACTTCCCCACCCAGAAGAAACTCCCGGCCACACCCTGGTTTTCTTGAGACCCATTCCCACTTCGAGGTCAAGCACTTTCGCTTTCTTGGGGAGGACCTCGGGGGAATTTTCTCTGAAATTCCCCCAGCTCTTATTTATTTATTTTCTCCATCCCGGGGATGTGCTGTCCCCAGGCTGGGCCAGCCGTCCACCCCTGAGCCACACCCAGCCCTGCAGGGAACCTCGGTGACATGCTGTATCTGGTGGGCAGGTCCCTTAATTTCTCACTTCATGGCTCTCTGTATGGGGAGTGGGTTGGGGGGATTATTTTTTTTAAATTTTGGGGGTACCAGGGATTGAACTCAGGGACCCTCGACCCCTGAGCCCCGTCCCCAGCCCTATTTTGCATTTTATTTAGAGACAGGGTCTCCCTGAGTTGCTTAGGGCCTCGCTTTGGCGGAGGCTGGCTTGGAACTCGCCATCCTCCTGCCTCAGCCTCCCGAGCCGCTGGGATGACAGGTGAGCCCCAGTGCGCCCCGCCCGTCTCTGTCTCTCCACGAAGCACCCGGGGTCTGTTCTGATGTGGGAGGTGATCGCCCAGCACCCGCCTGTGGCTTCCTGCACTTCCTGTCCCATGGGGTAGCACCCAGTGAGCCCTGGGCATGACCAGGGAGTCAGGAGGTTCTGCAGAGGGTCATCACATCATAGGGAAGGGACGGGTAATAGGGTCACGGGGACCCGGGTGACACCACGTCAGAGGGGGCGGGACTGTGGCAGCCACTGGAAGAGGAACTGGGAACCTTGATCTCACGCAGAGCTCAGGAGGACAGGGGGGACGTGACCCTGGGGATCGTGCACCTCAGAGGACTGGGCGCAAGAGAACTGGGGCTGATATTCTCAGCCTTAGGTGCCATTAGAGTCCTGTGCATGGGGACTCTGCAAACCTGGACCCCAGCTTAAGAAGAAAAAAAAAAGTGTGTTGTGGGAGGGTTTTGGGGGGCAGCCTTTACTGAAATGCTCAGGCATAATGTTAGCCTTCAGGTAGGGTTTGATCCAGGAGCTCCTGCGAGTATCATTGGAAAGGCAGGTGGGACCCGAGAGTGTGCATTTCTCTCAGGCTTCAAAGGGACACCTGTGCTCCTGGTCCTTTGTGAGCTTCTAGAACCCCTTTGGAGGCCCAGGTTTGGCTGGTGACAATAGATAAAGGACAGAGATGGCCATCTGGACGATGCTGCTGGCCAGGCCCTGTGGGGCTGGTCAAGGGGGTCCACTTGGGGTATGGTGCATGACCTTGGGCTGCCGAGAGCATCTCCTGAGGGTCCTGAGGACGTTCTTGGGTGCCCATGGGCAGCAGTCGGTGGACACCTGCACCTGAGGGGCGGTGGTGAGGGACAGTGGGTCCCCAGGTTGTGAGGGGTCAGACTCTGGGTCTGCGCTGG